CAAAATAATACACTCATAAATAAAATACTTGCATATTCAGCTAAAAAAGTTAATGCAAACTCCCCTCTTCTATATTCTACATTAAATCCAGATACTAATTCTGATGCCCCCTCTGCAAAATCCAATCGAGTCCGATTAGTTTCTGCTAAACAAATTCTTAACCAAATAAAAGCTATAGGAAATCAAATATAATATTGAAATTTTATAAAATCAATTAAAAAAAAGTAAATGATAACAAAATTAAAGCTAATCTCACTTCATAAGAAATATTTTGAGGAACAGCTCGTAAACCTCCTAATAATGAATAATTAGAATTTCTTGATCATCTTGCAGTTATTACAGTATAAACCCCTATTCTTGTAATTCTTAAAAAAAAATAATAAACTCAAATTAAAACTATAAAATCTCCTTAATATAGGTATACATATTCACACTAACAAAGATTTAAATAATTAAAAAATAGTAGAATAATAATAAGATATATAATTTGATATTAATGGATAAGTAAATAATTTAATGATGCAATTAATCCAATAAATCAATAAATCCAACTTTATTTGGACTCTTACGAATCTGAATATATCCTACAATTTCACGTTCAAATAAAGTTAAAAAGCTACACCCACTAAAACTCAAATAATTAATAATAAACTTCTCAATGAAGATATAATAAGTTCACTTAAAAACATAATTTTTAAATTTATGTATATAAATAAATTCTAAATTTACTGCACTAATCTGCCAAAATAGTAATAAAATTTATTCTTAAAATATTTTTTTTAAAATAAATATTAATTCTTTCGTACTAAATATTTTATTGAATCAAAGAGAGAAACCAACCTGGCTTACACCAGTTGCAACTCAGATGATGTAAGAATAAGAAGTCGAACAGACTTTATATTTAAACTTCTGCATTTAAATGTGAATCTTAATCCAACATCGACGTCACAAACTTTTTTATCGATAAGAACTCTTCAAAAAAATGACGCTGTTTTCGCAAATACTCACTAATAATCACTAACAATGGATCATTTAATCATAAATAAATGATAAAAATTATTAAAAGTTATTTTAATTTATATATAACCCAAATAAAATTATTTATAAATTTATAACGAAAAGAATCAAAATAAATCCAAAATTATTAAATAATCAAGATTTGTAGGGTCTTCTCGTCTTTTGAATTATAATTTGAATTTTTAACTAAAAAATAAAATTTTATAAAAATTTTAAAAGACACAGCTTATATCTTGCCCAACCATTCATTCCAGCCTTCAATTAAAAGACTAATGATTATGGGTCATTCTTTTACAACTCGGACACCTCTTTGACCTCATGATCTCCGATTTGGATGAAATTTTTTTTATGAGCTCCTTTCATAAAATAAGAGGACCCGTATCTCGGGAAAAAATTTTGTAATTTTTCTCCTAGGAGATATGGACCCAAGGGGTTTTGAGAATTGGCATAATAGACACATTTTCAAATGGCTATATCTCAAGTTCTATAAAAGTTACAGCGTTTCAAAGATAACTGATTGAACTTTTATGAAATTGTTTAAACAATTAAAACTGTTTATATTTAACTACTAATATTAACCGTTAAATTTCAAAAGAAAAAATTTTCTCAAAACTCAGCTAAATTTTCATTTTTTATGTTTTATTTAGATTAAATTTTAAATTTTACTACGAAATAAAAGGTTTCAGAACCCGTTATTTTTTGAAATTTTTTAATATTTTTTTTTCTCCCGCAAAACACATCAAGCACATGCGTACTACATTTCAATTAAATGAATGAAATAAAATTCTACACAAAACACTGGATGATATTGTAATTAGAAGTACTTTTAAAAATTTATTAATCCTTTATATCACACCAAACATCTATATACGATTTTTCAATTTATAAAATGGAATATGTCACACAAATTTTTTTTTTTTTTTTGAATCAAATTTATATGTAAATTCTACTTCAAAAATAAATATTTCCACTCTGATACTCCTTTTAGAAGTAATTAAAAAAAATTAATTAATCAGGTGTCCATCGCGTTACTCATACGCACCGTGGTGCCATAAAATCAATTTTCGAAGAAAAACGATACAAAAATTTTTACTTTTTATTTCTAAAATAAATGTATATAAAATATTGACATTTTAAATTAGTTCCGCATCACTTCTGTTTTTAAATTATGAATTTTAACATAAATAAACGTTTTAATAAACTTTTTCTTATATAGATGAATTAAAAAGTTAATAAGTTTGTTACTAATCGAACTACCTATATAACTGCAGCATATAATCACACGTACCTTTTTCGGTGAAGTGTTATTTTGCTACAGGTAAGAAATGTTATAAGGTACAAGCAATTTGAAACTCTGTAAATTTCAAGTTCTTATCTTTGATAGAACTTGAGATATACCCATTTGAAAATGCCAATTCTCAAAACTCCGTGGGTCCAAATCTCCTAGGAAAAAAATCACAAAATTTTTTCCCGAGATACGGGTCTTCTTATTTTATGAAAGGAGCTCATAAAAAAAATTTCAGACAAATCGGAGATTATGAGGTCATTTTTTGCCAAAATCCGTCCGGTTTGTTAAAGAATGACTCTTATGGTACCTTTGCACAGTTAATATATTGCGGCCATTAAAACTTTTCAATGGGCGGGTTAAACTTTAAATAAAATACAAAAATAGATGTTTTTGTTAAACAGGCGAACTTGCCGAATTCTTTATTTAAAGTGTTCAAATTTTATTATTTAAACATATTAATATACTAATTTAATCATTATTATTTAATTAAACAAATTAAAGTAAAATTTTTAATAAATAATTAGTATATTAAAAAATAAATTATAACAAACTTTTTAGTAACTGCTAATTCTAAGCATTCAATTAATTTAAATATATAAAATTTATAATAATTTATTTTACAGCTTATCCCATAAGATATTAAATTAACTTTCTATTTAAATTTTTATAAATAAATTAAATAATAATTAATTCTAAATTAAATTTATTTCTTAAAAAACGAAAAACATTTCATTTCTAAAAACTTATTAAAAATAATATTATTACATTAACTTTTATAAATTTTTAACTCTTAATAAATCCAGAACCCTGATACACAAGGAAAATAATTAAAATTTTATTTTAATACATAACTTTTTCAATATATTTCAACTTTATTCGCATAGACTTTACTTATAATTATAAATTTACAATTATTTTTAATAATCAATTTAAACATTTTTATTTAAAAAATAAATAAATAAATTTTAAATCAATTTATAATGATTTGTACAAAAATCTTTTCAATGTGGATGAAATACTTTTCTTTGCTAATTAAGCTTTAAATTGTCATTCTAGATACACTTTCCAGTACATCTACTATGTTACGACTTATCTTATTTTAAAATAAGATATAAATTTATTTCCAAATCCACCTTTAATTAATTCTTCATATTATATTCATATAAATATTTTAACTCATACCTACTTAAATATAAGCTACACCTTGATCTGAAATAAAATCATTTATAAATTTAAGAAAATTATTATTCTTTTAAAATATTTTGATAACGACGGTATATAAACTAATTACAAATTTAAGTAAGGTCTAACGCGGATTATCAATTATAGGACAAATTCCTCTGGATAGACTTAAATACCGCTAAATTTTTTAAGTTTCAAGAACATATCTATTACTACCCAAAAATTTGAATTCTCTATTTTTAATAATAGGGTATCTAATCCTAGTTTATATCAAAAATTTTTTATCTTTAATTAAATTTAAATAAAGTTTAAATGAACATATAATTTCACCTAGTAAATTATTTTAAACTTAATGTAAATAATTTAACTAATTTGAAATTAAAATATTTATATTATTTGATTAACCGCAACTGCTGGATTTTTTAAACTAATTAATAATCACACAAAAGTTTACACGTAAAACTTATTTTAAAAAATATCATAAGCTCAAATAAATTTTTGTAAATTTCATATATATATTAATTAATTTATACAAAATAATAAAATTTGAAATAATTATATTAATTAAATAAAGTATTTACAATCCATAAAAATAATTCTTATCTATAATTTTGTCCCCTTTAATAAAATTTACAAATATTTTATATCTGTTATAAATTTATCAATTAATTTATATTAAATAATAAATTCTTAATACAAATATGTTAATTAAATAAATTATTTATAACCCATAAAAATAATTCTTAACTATAATCTTATTTAAAATACAGATCGGATTTTGCATAGTTAAACTGCAATTTCTTTTTGTCTAAAAAATTCTTTGAAAAAGTTCCTAAAGTTCTAAGTTATAGAAGTTCTATGAGTTATTTACTTTAAGTGGTCTCGATAATATATACCAAGGGACAAACATTTTTAAGGTCTCTATATTGAGATTAAAAATGATATTGCTATTAAGGTCAGAATTTAATAACCAGTGTACTAGGTTTTGTAAAGTAATTTGCGAGTAGTCACTCTCAAGTTTATTCATTTTTTTATCACCATAATGAATCTAATTTCTTTCTAGATAAGCTAACACTTATTTAGTATACATGAGTTGATGCTCTTCGCGGTATATTTAAGCTCCTGATCAGAGTTTGCTAGATATTTTTAAGATGGTTATTATGTTAGTTATGACTGTATTTAGCTAAATTTTCATTAGATAGCGAGTGAGTGTAAGAAATTTCTTTCTTTTAACTTTAATGATCCACTGATCAGACATTCTTAGTTCTCTACCACTTTTTTGTTTATGATATTTCTGAGTAACGATTTAGTAATAAAGTATTAAAGAAGATCCATTTAAGTATAGTACTTTCAATTGCTGATCAATTATATTTACCTGTGATTCGGATGAAACCTGTTTGATAGAGTTGATGATATTTTCAATTCAAATACAGAGTGCAACAGTTTCATGCTTTCAATTTAACTGCATTTATTTATGATTAAAAAAAATTTTTTTTTGTTAAAAAACGTTTCAGTAAATAAAATAAATGCAAAATGTATCTTCAAAGACTTCTTGAAACATGAGTTTTTAAAAAGAAAGCAATTTAATGAACATGCAAAGTTCTTTAACTGCTAAATTTTCCTGATCAAAAAATCATCAATTCGAAGAGCTTCATCGTTAGCATCGATGTAAAGATGTTTTTCAGAAATGGGACCTCGTTTGTTAGAGCGAATGCGTATAGAACGATAAGAGTACTTAGCTGTGGTGTGTGATGATTTTAGTATATATTTTTTTAATAAGCTTGGTGAACTCAAACTATGGGATTCATGGCGCCCAGCAGGACTTATTTTTATAATATTGCGCTTATGATGGCAAACAGAAACATATTCAGCATCCATGTCAATATCTTCATATATATCATTTTCTTTTAACAGCTTCTTAAATGCAGTTTCAAATATATTATTCCTCACATCATCAACAAAGCGTGAAACTGATTTACTTGTTTTATTTTCTTCCAAAATATGTGAAACTGAGGAAGAGGACGAGGAGGAAGAATAGTGCTTCTTAAAGTGAGGAACTGATCCACCTGTTTTCTTCAATTTCACAAATTGTGAAGCTGATTTGTCTTTTTTTTTTAAGCCTACAAAGTTTGGAACTGATTTTCCTTTCATGTGTTTGGAAGCAGCATGATGCTTAGTTTTTGATTTTACATTATCTCTATTTTTGTTATATGATAACTCAGATAATGACTGTGAGGATATATTTGGTTGATATTTGGAATGCAAATTAGTAGAGTAACGTTCATACTCTGTATCATTTAAGTGACACGAAGCCGCTTCAGTACTTGTATTTGGATAATCCAAGTCAACAAGTTCTTCAGTTTCCGGTATCAAAAATGAAGTTTTAGGAGTGCGTGGGTTACAGCATATGTCTGTTGTACGGGTAATAACGTTTTTGAATTTATAATGACATTTTTGTTCGCTTAGTAGATTACCAGCCAGAGCATTCAATTTATTAGCTGCTAATCTACATTCTTCTTCGAATAACTCATCACTTCTCGTCTTCGGTTTAAACAGCTCATTATCGTCCATAGTCCATTCGGATAATTCCTTTTCAATGTCATGGTTACAAGTATCAATCATTTTAAACATCTCATTATCGTCCACACTCACTTCGGACAATTTCTTCCCAATATCAATATCCTCAATATGTGTACGAGTATCAAAAGTGGAACCACCACACATTGTAGATTTATCTAATTTCTCACTGCTAGGCAAATTTTTAGAAATACTGTTTTTGACTTTCTCATCATTTTTGTCGTACGTGTGTTTAAAAGGTAGTTTGATTTTCTCGCACTTAATATTTGTTAGCCATCCGCTGCATTTCTGACAATCGAACTCTTTATCAAGAGTCATATCTGCAAAATATATATAAAATTAGATTTATTTGTCGTTTTTTTCATATACAAAACTAGATTTACTAGAAGAATTAACTGAAATTTCGGCTTGAGTGAGTAAGGATTTATTTTCACGATTTTCTGCTTCTGGCATGTCTTGACATATATATTTCTTTAACTCTGCGAAGCCATCTAGACCACTATTTAAATCATCACGTATCTCTAGAAGTTCTTCCCTTAACTTTATAAGCTTTTGCTCTGTACTCAACTCAACGATATTTAACACCTTTGAGTGAGGTGGGTGTTCGTCATCGTGATCGCTAATACATTCCTCAATCTGCTTGACTTCATTACTTCCTGTTGACATTCTCTTTCGAAATGAAAGAACTTGTAGTTTTATTTAATATGTTGTAAAATATCATGATATAGTTACCTTGCTTAAAGTTCCAATATAAAAATAAATTCAATTCTTTTTTTTCAGTAAGAAATTTTGATTTCAACTTTCAGCAGATTTTTTTTTAATATAAATCTGTAAATAATTTTCAAGAAAAATTTTTTTTTGTGTTAATGTCAGTTTTTATTTAACTTTGTTATTAAAAAAAAATATTTTACAAAAATATTTTCCAGTCCAGTTAGCGTTAGATTTAGACAAATCTTTAATTAATATTTGAACAATGAATACAATTTTAAATAAAATGTTTTATTAATTTGCTTTAAATATGTTGGTTTCATTTTCGTCTGGTTTACTTTAAAACCTATTGGACAAAACTTTGTTATAGAAGAATGATTAGTAATAAGTCAAATGTGAATTATACTCATTAAAAAATTTGACAAAATTCATAGCAAAGGTTTCGAGAATATATTCTACAACTTGTGTTTTTGGAAAGAATTCTACTATAAATAAAGTATTTATAATATGTTCTTGAATTTGTATAATGTAGTGTTCAAACTTCTAGTTATCTGCTAACTGGAGCTATCATGGATTCATAACCATCTACATGGTTATCGATCCATACCCACGGTGTATTGCCTAATGACAATACTCGGAGAAAACGCCAAAACAAAAAGGTATGAACTTAGTCCTACAGAATTATGATCTATCTATTGCATACTCTACCTCCATTCGAAAGCTAATAAGAAAAAAAAAAAAACCTAAAATGGAAATATAAAAATGGATTTACAAAAAAAAGAAACATAAAAAATAACCCTCTTAGTACATTTTTGTGCCAAATCCTAGTTCCAAGTTTCTTCGCTCAAAGCCTTATACACCATACCATAGATAATTAAAACAGTAAACATTCAAAAAGCAACAATTTTAAGGAAGAGTATGTCCAGTTAAATTTAAATTTTGGATATGTGATCCAGAATAATTACGGGATATGTAAGAAAAGAAGTTATTTCTTTTTGGAAACTGAAGAGTGCCATGAAGAATAGTAACAAAAAGCCGAATCCTTGATTTCTATTTGTGTGGAATGCTTAAAATAGACCGACACTGAATAAACCTTCCAACAAGATGAATTAAATTTCATTTGTTATACCAATGAGGGCAATTCTTCGGTTTTTACTTTTTAGTCTCCGCAATAGAACTTATCACATACTATAATTATAATTCTCCAAAATATTAAAACTTCATTTTGATTACGTTTTCATTTTGAATCAATAAAAATTGATGCGGTACTCAGTAAATGAGACACTCTTATTTTTTTAAAAATGGGTCGATTTCTGCAACCCATATATCGTCAATATGAGCGAAAACTAAACTAAACGAAAACTAAATACACCTCAGTGGAGATATTTTAAAGAGAGGATCCAGAAGAATGCTTGCATCAAATTTAATTTCGACCTAGATGTCAATAAATATTTTTACAAGCAATATGATATACAAACGATTAAAACAATCTATAAAAGCTGCAGAGAGGTCTTACTTCTGTGTTTGTGCACCATATGAAATTATATAGGGTGATATTATTTATTTAATAGAAACATGTCTAATTTTTAAAGAATTTTCGATGGTGTATCCGAAACTTTCGTTCAGTCTTGAGCAACGACTACAAATTTTCTAGGGTTTCAACTGGAGAGTTAATTAACTGCACTTATTATAAATGCGAAAGACATAAGGTCAAATATAATATATAGTAATTTTTGAAATAAAAGTAATTAAATACTTAAAATGATTTAAACATTTTATGATATGTTTTAATATAATATCACAAGTAATAAGAGAATTTGACCTAATGATGAAACTAAACCACAAATAAATGTAATAATATGTAATACATATGTAATAATAACTACCTATGAAAAACTGTGCATACTGTCTGTCCGCCCTAGTTACCTCAGGAAGATTCATCTATTTATTTTTACATAAGTAGGAAAACTAATAATTTCTAAGTTTTGAGCCCAATCGAATAAACTTGCATATGAACGGTGGACGGGCATATAAACGGTGGAAATGGTGAAAGGATATTTCGCCAAACATACAATCGTTTTAAATAGAGTCTGTACGTATGTACTTCATCAATATGCCCAAAACAGGGCAATTTCTGTCTAGTCCCACAGCATATACAAATGGAGATGGTATTAGAAAAATATTGTCCTTGCCTTGTACTTACCAATAGTACAAAAACGCAGAAATATGTTCCAAATATAATTCTCAATTGGTTTAGTACAGAGGTACCATATATACTCATATATTCATACGACAATTTGAGGCATTACGCCAGCAGCTTAAACACTGTACGACTAATATGTATATACATTAGATGTCCTATGAATGTTCCTGATTTAGATATGAGTACATGTTTTATGATATATTTGCGGTATTATTGGTTTTTTTTTTAGTTTTTTTTTGGTTTTTTTTTTAGTTTTTTTTTTGGTTTTTTTTTTTTGGTTTTTTTTTTTTTTTTACAGTAAATATATATAGCATGTATATAGCGCGTATATAGCATATTCCCGCATAGGTGATACATGCTGAAATCTACATTTATATTACTAAGTTTTTTTATATTAACGTATATAACATATTAGGTTTTTATGCCATTGAAAACGATTTGATAATTGTAGAGAATGCAAGGACTTGATAGGTTTTAGTAGTAAATTATTTTGGACCTCTTTATTTTTTCGTTCTGTGTTTTTCATAGTGTTATAAATGAACAAAATATAAAATAGTGCAAAGTTGCATTTATAAAAAAAATTAATTGGAAATATCCACAATAAAGTTGGGTCGTCAAAAATGTACCATTTTTTGAACATGAGTACCAAACGAAAAAAAAGTACCAATTTTGGTACTAAAGTACCATAAGTGGCAACCGTGGTTATTGTTAAAAGAAATGAGTATAAAATAGAGAAATGAGTATAAAAAACATCAAAGGTTTTGGAGTGAAAAATAGTCTATTGATAATTAGACAATCGTGAAAGTGAAAGTTTTGAAATTCCAAACTTTTGTGCCTGAAAACAGCAAAGTTTTGGTGTCAAAAATGTTCAATTTTTTGGAATGATTTCTGATTATAGAAATTAGATTTCATTATTATAACTGAAGACGACTCTGGGATCTATGCTTATAGCCCGCAAATAATGAATATTCAAGTACAGTGGAAAAGGTGAGACAAGATTGAAAAGTACCTACAAACCGTTTATTTGATTTTTTATCTAAACATAGAGCTCTTCATTAAAAGTCACCAGATATATCGGTAAAGAATTCTTGATTTTGTTATGATATACAATCTTACTCTGCACTGGTTCTTTCAGAACATTTTGCCAAAAGTTCAATTTACATCGTTTTGCAATCATCGTATTCACCTTATTTAGTATTATCTGGCTTTTAGTTTTTCTCTAAGCCAAAAGGCTACCATTTGATGAGGATCGAAAAGTTTAAAGTCGTATTGCTGCCTGCTTTAAAGATTATTCTGAAAATTAATTCTAGAAATTTTTTCTGGACTTAGAAAAGGCATTGGCATAAGTGTATTGTATAGAGACGGATCTGTCTTGTAGGCGATGAAGTAGATTTAGAAGAATAAATTAAGATTTAAGATTTAAGGTTATATTCATATTTAATAAAGAAATCTACTTAGTCGATAAACTTTACTAAGTTAACCTTTGAACTTACTCTGCCATGAACGAAATCCACCAGATATATTTGCAAATTAACTTCAACTGGTTATACACTTTTTAGTAAATTAGTTAATTGTTCGATATTCAGGTAATACAGTGATTATACATATACGTGTAGGTATATGTGTGTGTATGTGTATTTAGTAAAGAAACTATTATGCTATTTATTTTATAAGTGTATCAAATAAACATATTATTAATACAACAAACTACTTACCTACAATTATCACAAGACGTCTTGATATGACAATTATTTTATTTATTAACAAATTCTGTAACTTCAATAATATATAAGTAAATGTTATTAAATTTTCATAAATATATAGTTTTATTAAGATTTAAAAATTTGGCAAGGCATGCTTATGCTTAGAAAATAATCATGACATCTAAGTTATTATACATTAACAGTCTAAGGGCCATGTTATGCAGAGTGTCTCGGGCACGGCAAATTACGCTCTTTCGGGCTATGCCGAAAATGCATGTTATGCAGAGTGTCACATCAGTATTGCCAATTTTGTATTTTTACTACTTCTTGGTTGTGCCTAAATTTATAAGGAAATTTAGATATGCTCACTCTCAATTTGCCACCAAAAATAACTCGCATGAAAAAACACATAGAGACTGTAATAATGTTAATTTATTATTATATTATCTTATAACAATTGTTAACAGTACTTACGCGTTTCTTTAAAATCGGAAAATGTAATAATTATATTATTAGCGATTTATAAAAAAAATGCTGTGTTGCTTACTGCCATTTTTTCTCCAAAACGTACTAGAATTGTAGTAGTTTGCTCCTAAAAGGCGCAAATTTTAAAATTTATTACTAAACAACACTGTTTTGCCTTAGTGCCGCGGCACAAATACGCCGGCTCTCATGCCGGAGTTTGAACGGCCATATTGTTTTTTCTTTCATTCTCAAAATTAAAATTTGCATTGAAAACAACAACAATTGTACTCATGCCGTGCCCGAGACACTCTGCATAACATGGCCCTAATTCATAAACTTTTCTTAAGATACTTTTTAAATGCATTTTAGTCAAAATACATTTTAACTTTATAATGGTATTATAATGCACCCTATTCATAAAATAGGGTACGATGTGCCTTATAACTATAAGTAATATAGGAAATAGAACTCAAAGATTTTCATCACCATAAGTTAAATTAAATTAGGTACATCGCGTACATATCTTACATTAATATGAATTTATTTAAATTATTCACCTTAACTAATTATTTACTTGAATTCAGTGTAAGCATGTATTTATTTTTTAATATTCTATTTACAATTAATTTACAATACTTTTTATATTGAACTGAGTTAACGAGTTTGTTATAATCGCTTATCGCTGTTGTTATAATGCTCGGTTACCCGGCTTGTTGTCCAAAATCGTGAATACCCCTAATATTGAGTAATTCAACAGATTTATTTAAGAATATCGCTAAACAAAAAGAAAAATATATATTTTTAAAGTGCATTAAATTGATATGGCAGTGTTTTCTTATAATTTTCCTTCATTTTGCTCTGCACACTCTAATTTTGTAAACACATTTAGTTTCTAAAGAAAATATCAAAGAAATTCATCAAAATTATACAAGTTAGTTGTGCTTATCATAAGGTACTTCAAGCAAAAATAATGTTATCATCAGCATTATAATCAATACCTCAATATGTCAATAAAAATGGACGTCATTTCGCCATAGTGCTGCGTTGCCATTTTTCTGCACATCCTCGGCGCCTGTCGTAGGGCAGTCACTGAAGTGCTGTGTTGTCTGCGACTTGAAGTTCTGCCGAGGCACAGCACTCGCCATTAAGTAAGCATATAATTTACTCACTAATTTAATATGGCAGAAAATATACGCTAAAATGTCCATTTGTCACAATGGCAAGCAGCTGTCAATAAGTTAATGATGGCCAATGAAATAAATGTGACTGTCCTGAGCTCGAAGAAAACTCCTACATTGTCAAATTTTTTATATTCATTGTTGTGGAAAACAACATACGTTCCCAGATAAGCTAAGGTACTCAAAGCGCCGGAATGGTGTTTTTTTCGTCACTCTTAACAAACAAATCAAAACATTGATAGACAAACAATGCAAAAATATTTCAAGATAAGATTTAACGAGCAAACATATATACGCTTATGTATTTAACCTATCAATATTTTAGAGCAATTTTCTTATGAAAAAATTATTTCTCATTCATTGTTTATTTTCATATCGAAGTGCTTCAGAGGAATATCTCGTTATTAACGTCCGTTATTTATCTACCAATAGGCGTTTTTGTTTCTCCACGACGCAATTTAATTTAATAAAAAAGTAAAACTGATATATGTTAATGATTGTGTTTATTAAAGTATTCTTTTCTAATTTATTTTTCAAGCAGAAGGGACTTTAAATTAAACATTTGTATCTTCAAATTTTTATAAGAAAAATCCAAATAAATGTTGGACTTCAATCAGCTGCAATGAAAAGATTTTCAAGACTTTCAATTTTTGAGAATTTTAATAAAACTTTCAAACATTAGAGTAAGGTAACAATATAGTCTTATATATGTATATAATAATACCATATATAGATATATAGATAATACTGTGAAGTGGATAAAAAGTCCATAGTTTTTTAATGTGATTACCTGCTTAATTATAGTTATTCTTAACATATGTATCAGTTTAATTCCATGTTAAATGCTCTCATTTAAATTCCAAAGAATTTTGCCAGCATAAATTGAAGATATACGTTTGTATATAGGTCATTCTTTTACAAATCGTACGGATTTTTAAAATCATTTTAAAAAATGATCTCATTATCTCCGATTTGGCTGAAATTTTTTTAGGAGCTTGGGAAAAATAAAAAAAGTATCTTGGGAAAAATTTTTTAATTTTCTTAGGTAATATGGAAATATGGACCCATGCTGTTTTGAGAATTGGCATTGTATACACATTTTTAAATAGCCATAACTCAGGGTTTATAAGTGATAGAAACTTGAAATATATTGAGTTTTAAATATAATTGATTGAGATTCAAGTAAATTGTTTGAACAATTAAATTTGTATATATAGGTTCTATATTATATATATAGGTTCTATATAGGTTCTAATATTAACCGCTAAATTAAAAAAAAACTTTTTTTTCAAAACTCGTACTGTTTTTTCATTTTTTATATATTATTTAGATTTAATTTTGAGTTTTTTTTAGAATGAATTATTTTATTTTTGTTTCCCCTGCAAAACACATCAAGCACATGCGTACTATATATCCATTGAATGAATTTTCAAAGAACATACTACATATATTCTTATATAATAATTTTGATTTCGATTAGTATAAAAATTTTACATAAACTTTAAAAATGTCAGGACGATATTGTCATTAGAAGTACTTTTAGGAAATTAATCCGTCGCATCGCACCAAACACACATATTTGACTTTTCAGTAAAAACAGATATATTTTTCGAGTGTGGTATTACTTTTAGAAGTATTTAAAAAAAATTAATTTATAAATGTATTTTTTAATTTATAATTTCCTTATTACTGTTCAAATACATAACACCATATAGAATAAAAGTAAATAATTACTATCATTCTACCCCGTATTATTGGGTTATAATCACAGCCTCTATGACAGTCCCTTTTAAGAACCAACTTCTATTGGTCAGAGCTGTGGGCTCGAACCACCGTGACACCAAATTTATAGTACACTTCCAGTCAGTTACCGGAAGATACTTCAATTTACTCACTATCATTAATACTTCAAATAGCATCGGGTGAAGCCTGCTAGATTTTATAATCAGTAGGAAATATTCTAACTCTTTTCACGCAGGAGAATTATAGTGAATACTGTCGTATAAAATTAACACTTAATATACCAGTTGGTTTATTTTTTTTAAAATATTTGAGTAAATTTTGGGTCTTACAAGTGCTGAAACTACATCATTTGTGTGGAGTAGAAGTACTTCCATACATGACTTATTCTGTTTCTGTCTGGACTAAAGAAATCTTAAGTTCCCAGTGTATACTAAAACCTATAATGTAGCAAGTAGCAATTAATGTTGCTTGGTACATTATACATCTCAATATATTTTATTTCGAAATCAGTTTATTTTATTTTTTATGCTGACTAATGTATCTCCAGAGTGAAGCAGTATAGTACCATACCAGTTAGAATGATTGTTAAAAAATAAATAGCTTATTATTTTTGAAAAAGAAATTCAAGGCAAGAAATCATTGCCGTTTTAAGAGACATTATGTATATTCAAATATCAAGTCAAGCACTTTCTTTTAATTTTAACAAACAAAAAAAAGCACAAATTAATGTTTATTTTGTGGACCAAGATCTTGGATGATATTCTATTATGGTAACGTTTTGCTGAAGCATCTTCATTGATTCGTCTATGACTTTACTGATTTACAGCATTTGAGTGGCGTCAATGGAGGTTGCCAATGTCTGTGAACTAGACCTTGAAGCGAGATTAATCATGTACTCTCATATACTTAGAACGCTGGTAATATTAATTTACTATAAATACAGTATTTATTAATAGCTCTCTTATTTTGTGTTAATATATATAAAAGATCACTTATAGCGCCATCAGTGCTATTAAACTATAAAGTGCATTATTGTATTTGAACAATAATGCTTTAGTAACACAAATTAGTAGAGGTTCTTCATTCGAATTCAGTTCAATTAAAAATAATCCACTCAATCCATTTATTGAAACTTAATGCAACGATCCGGAACACGAATGATTTCTGGTGTTGTTCTCCTGGCATTCGATCTGGGAGTCGTTAAATGAACTTTCAAACAACCTTGTTTGATGTCGATCCAGTTCCCGTTTACGCTGAGTATCTTGCCCAAAGATTGTCCCCTTTCTCAAAATGGCTTTTATAGTGTGCATGCCAACGTAAGACCATGGATGTTATTGGCAATCTCATTGGCTTAGACAATTATGCTGATTTGCTTCTGTTCAACAGATGCAATGGTGAAATGCAGGTCGATGTCGCAATATCATTCCATTCAAATTACTGCGATATCTTCGCATAATTTAGATTGTTAAAGAAGTTTTTACAGCAATGTCTCATTAAAACTAAAAATTATTTTATGCAATTGTTTGTTATAGTTTAGTACATACTTTCATTGAAAATTGTTTTTAGTTTATTTAAAACTCTGGCATTACTTTTCAAAACAATATATAAAAAAAAAATTTAATATCAAAGTAAACCAAAAATTTACGTCAGCTTTGAAAAAGATAAGTTAAATATTTTGTTTTACATTTTGAAAAAAAAAAACTGCTCAACACGAATTTCTATCTGGAACAATTAAAAAATATATATAATATATCGCAACTCAATACAAAGTCATACTTTAAGTATTTTATTTTCTAAAAACAAAACAAGATGGAAAATACTCTTCGTGATGATGGCATGCAATTATCAGTTTCATCAGATTTAGCTGCTATACGTACAGCCAAACAAAATATTCATCAACGACTTACATTAGCATACAAATTCCTTGAGGTTCACTCTAATTTGAATAGAGATATCAATAAGATTTCCCAATTAGATGAATATGAGTGTCGCAACAGGCAGGACACAGGACAGCATGTACACAAAATCCGAGATACTGATTGCGATTCCTCACTGGACTCTACAGGTAATTTACATAAAAATTGATATACATAATGATTACATATCTTAATACAATATATATATTTTGTAGGTCCAATCATAAAGGGAAACTTCTCTTGCCGTAAACACTGTAGACGGAGAGCTAAACACAAACTCAAAAGAACACATGAGTACATGAAACAAGACATATCTCCAAATTCGTTCAGCTGTAAGGAAGTGAGTTCGATCACAATTAAAAATGATTTAACTACTGTATACTATATGCCAAGCCCTAATATTGAAGACAAAATGTTTGATTTGACAATTCAAGATGATAAGACAGTCGAATTATTTGAAAACGAGTATCAAAACCGATCTGACGTGTTCAACGCTGAAACCAATAATTTAACAATTGAGCCATTATGTACTACTCACTATCAGTGTGATGCGATCAATGAAGAGAGCGAAATACCTTTGGTGGAAGCTTGTATCGATGTATCTTTTAGTCACCATCAATTGTTACAGTCTGATAAAGTCGTTGCACAACCAGTTCCACATAAAGGAAAACAAGTCTCCAAAAAATCAATCTTAAAGCTTTGTGGGTCAGTTTCATCAGCCGATTCTAATATAATTAAAAGATATCCTGCTTTTATTCTTTCTGGCAAGAACAACAATAAACAGAAAGCAAGAAAACCAGAGAGTTTTGTTCCTGTGGCAAATCACACTGATAATAGAGATAAAAAATATTTATCTCAGAAAACACTACTACAATATTTGAATGAATGTGAACAGAATCTTGAAGGTATAAACTCAAACAATGTGAATAGTACCGATGCAGTTTCAGCTGCTTCTCATCATGAAGCAATAAAAATCGTGGAAGGTGCAGAAGATCCAGGAGGTGTAGAAGATGTAGAAGATGTAGATGATGCTGGAGTTGATTCAGAGCACAAGTGTCTTGAGTTATTTTCATTAGTAAGAAGTGAAAATCTATTAGAAGAATTTGACGTTTCAACTGATGAAGAAGAATTATTGAAAGGACCTATCAATCATCTTTTTAATAAGGAAGTGTCAAGACTTTTAACTATACGTGATTCTGAGTTTAAAAACGATGAAACTGTTTTTTACAATCAAGTAGACAATGCTTTGCAAATAGATATTACTGAAGTTATTGAATTTGAACGGGAATCACCTTTACTAATCTCATCCACCAATTTGAAGAAATTTGAGTCAAAGGAAACACAAACTTCAGCTAGATGCACTTGTGGTTATAATACTGGTACTGGTATTATTAGAACAGAATCAAAGCGAAGGACACACCGTTGCATTTATCTTGATTTACATTGGGAAGACTGTTGAATTGTTGGTTAAGTGATTATCAAAATTCAAAAGTAGAAGTACATTATGTATCTTCGGAAGTTTAAATAGAAATTTATGTTTCCAAGTAGTTCTTGAAATATTTACATTTTTATATCAAATGTTGCGATATTTACAAATTTTTTTTTCAAAATTTTTTTTAAAAATATGAATTAAATCTGTTTGGGTTAAATCAACAAAATTATGTTTTTTGTACCAGAAATAGGTATACATATTATTATATATCCAATTAAGATTTGTGAAGTTATTTCTAACACTTCGAGGAACATATCGAAGACTATAGAACCTACAAAAGTTATTGATTGTCATGACGAGGTGTGTAGGTTGAGCAATGTCTGTCTGTCTGAATAGAATCTTCCTTTCTGAAAGGTATACATTTCAAGTTGACAATTTAAATTAAACATTTTTCAATATATCCGTAACTACAACAACAAAAATTTGATGGCATCTTTAATTAAAAAATATGAGTAAATAACAAATAATTGTTAGTGTGAAGATTGCTAGAGCTCATCTATAATAGGTTATGATCTCATTTTAAATGTAGAGGTACTATTAAAAATGTTTTTTTTTCAGTTTCAAGTTTTCAGATAAAGGATGATGGAATATAATTTTGGTAACTAACAGTACAAAAATATCGGGCGTTCATTAGTTCTATATTTTTTTTTTTATAGTGTTATTGTTGCTTAATAGAAGCCCAAAGACTGTTTGTTTAGGGCGTTCTTCTAATTTTGACACATGTTGACGTCTACATGGGGTAGCTTCTACTACGCCGAAATCCCTGTAAAAGTTAACATAAACTGCTGTACACCTGTCACCATTCATCCAAACTATTTGAAGGTGTGATTTTCCATATTTGATGGCATCGCGGTTCTCTACATTTGAATAACATAGCTCCATATACGAGTGTTAGCTTGGATGGTATTTCCATCATTTAATAAAATAAACCTAATTTATAGTTTGTTTGTGTTTGTTTTTGGCTTCAAGATGTATTCACTACGCATTTTAGTAGTACTCGAAGGTGCTTTTTGTCTATAAATTTAGATTTGGACTTACAGTGGATCTTATCGTTTCAGTAAATAGCAGTATTTATTCTATTGCAAAAAAGTTATATTTTACCATTAAATATTGAGTATACGTCTAAGTCCTTCTTACGTTCAAGCGTTAGTACTGGTTAGACCCTAGTACGTGCCTCATGGTCCATAACTTCACTTTACAAAATTCCTGCAAATTTAATAGAAAATATATTCGGACAGTGGTTCAACCCACAACATTCTGCTGGAATTCGTATTATAATATTTAAATTAGTTTTTGTTATCTTCAGCCATTCCTTGTATTGACTTAGATTAAAGACTCTTATAAGCGGTTCACTAATTTTTGCATATGTTCAAATGTAGAAATTGCTGATAATAAAATAGTTTAAAAATAGCAACTAAGGTGTTCGTAATGTTAAAAATATTCCCTTTGAACTTGGTCTCATTCAATTATCGTAGATTACAAGTTAATATTTGCCAAAAGTTGAACTTTCTGGCAAAATAACTAATAATTTTCTGTAACTTCAACTTTTTGGTTAACGAGTTGCCATTTGTTTTGTCTGAACTTTTCATTACTTTTGACTTCTTAGGGTTTCATTCAATTCAATAAATTAAGCTAGTATTATGATTATGGCCATTACTCATAAAGAACATTTAGACGAAACAAACATTTTCTAGGAAGCATTCATTGTGCAATTATTGATAGAGTATAATGCTGTTATAATGTGTCTTTGATGGCTTCTGTTGATTAAGAGTATTAATTAGCAAAACATACGTCAAATTGAATAATATAGTTTCATTTTAGAGAGTTCATGTCTTCCACTTTATGTTTACTTTATGTGTTTAATAGTAATTCCGTATTGTATGAATGAAAGCAATAACACTACAAAAATATATGCAATAGAGTATTAAATTATTCAATATGATACATGGATTGTAGTGTGAAGAGGTTATGTACGTAAAGGAAAGTTACATTGTAAAGTTACATTTTCTTATTTACACCCATAACATAAAAAGGATATGCTAAGATAGATAGATCAATTAAAATAGTCATCAATGTTATACAGGGTTGCTGACGAAAATTACAACAAAGTAAAATGCTCTATTTTGTTCTTTTTTTTTTTTGTTAAATTTAATGAAATATATATGAAAATATGCGAAAAGAACTTTAAATTTTTAAGTTACTTTATTTTGGGTCAATATGGTCACCTTTAGCATGAATTATAGTCTTTAACTGTCCAATGAAGCTGTCGCACGCTGCCCACAAGTGGCTTTGAGGTATTTTGGCCCATTCTCGGCTTAGCGATTGTTTCAGAAGATCAACATTTTAATATTTTTAAGTGCCAACCTTAATTTTTAAAATACCCCAGACCTAGAAATCTAGAGGGTTTATATCAGGTGAACACGGTGGCCACAGTGTTTGCATCAAAGCACAGAACGTTGTTTTTTAGCCATTTTTGATTGAAGCATGCTTTGTGCGATGATGCTGACTCCTGTTGGAATCTCCAACACCTGCGAATGAAATGCTCATCTGCCCAGGGCTTTAGTGTTTCCTCTAAAATTATTTTCCGATAAATTTTGGCGCTTATTTTCACTCCATGGTCGATGAACAGAACCGGAAAGCGACCATTGACCGTTACGGCGGTGCACACTATCAACATCTTAATATCCGTGGTGGCTGCTTTTTGGTAGCCATTCGTAAGTTTAAATTTTCAACCGACACCTCTGATGAGTAAACACGATTATTTTGCTTGTTTACGTACTGCTCAATTTGGAATGGTGACTCATCAGAAAAACAAAATTCGGCAACTCACTACTTTGGGTCTAACGAACCAACCAATACTTTGGCTCTTTCGACTCTAACTTTTTTTTGTTCATCGGTGAGATCATGCACTTTGTTCAACTGCATGGTTTTAGCCTGAGTTCATTTTTCGAAATGTGTTGCATCCGTTCCCTGGGTTTCGCTCAATTCGCTTCTTTACTTTACGAATCATTTTTGGTGTTTTACAGTTCTTTTTGGTCCACTTCCTGGGCATCGGGCAACGAAACCAGTGTCACGGTATCGAGCTATAGTACGAGACACAAATAATTTGTTCATATTTAGGTGTTGGAGGGATTGAACGATAGCTGCTCGTGTTTTTCCAGCCAAATATGAAGCAATCATACTATCACGTTTGAACTACATCACTTGCAACTTCCTTTCTACAACATAAAAATCAAAATGCCTTTATACGTTTGGACTATGGAAAATGAACTATCAAATGGATTAATTTTGAGCTTTGTGTCAGTGTTGACCGATTTTTAAAGATTTCGATTATTTAAAATGAATTCCTTGCAGTCGATCTGTGTTAGTCGCCTGAACACAGATCGATTGTGTTGTACAACCACCTCATGCTAGAAAACGGTGAAACTGGCGAACTCGTTAGAAATATCGAGGGTCTAATGCATTTTTGCATAGAGTCTTCGTGCTACATAAACTTTTAGCCACAAAAAAAGTATCATCAGTCTTTTGTTACTAGATATGACTACTTATAGCTTTGGTACTGGCTGAAGCTGAAATTGTCAGTGAAAGCAAATCATTTTCATACTGATCACATAATGAGTTTCGTATAATGATGTCATAAAGATAAATATTAATGATAACAAAATATATCAATTTATGCTATTCTTTCCTATTAATGATCAATTTTGTTGGGTCAATTTCCATACTAGATGCTCTATTATAGTACGATTGATAGTCGTACTGTAACTTACATTGTGACCGAAAAGTTTCCGGAAATTCTCATTTAAAATTCGCGCGCTGTATATTCTTCGATATTTTAAGTTTATGTAGTTTGGCAGCAATTAAGGACAATTACTATGCCAAAAATGAGCGCGATCTGTCAGACAGTTCGTTTACGGCAGCTGTTTAAACCAGTTCACCTCAGTAGTGCGTTGCGAAAAAAACAATGGAAAAAAATATTGAACAAAGAGTTTGCATCAAATTTTGTGTTTCGAACGAAATTTCGTGTGCAGAATCTTTGCGAATGCTACAAAAGGCTTATGGGGAATCAGTTTTATCGAAAACTCAAGTTTATGAGTGGTACAAAGCCTTTCAGGACGGTCGTACGACCGTCGAAGACATGCCGCGTTCTGGACGACCTTCGACCTCTACCCCCGACGAAAACATTGAAAAGGCAAAGGAAATCGTGTTCCAAAATCCTCATGTGAGTGTTAGAGAGATAGCACGAGAGCTAGGCATCGGTCGTGAGATGGCTCGTTTGATTTTGGTGGAAAATTTGTGTATGCGACGTGTCAACGCTCGGCTTGTTCCGATTCACCTCAATTTGTTCCAACATTATCAACGATTTTAAGGCCAAACATTCAATAAATACCATCGAACAGCCACCGTATTCACATGATCTTGCACCGTGTGACTTTTTCCTGTTTCCCAACCTCAAATTACCACTCAGAGGAACGCGTTTTGAATCCATAGAAGACGTAAAACAGAATTCGCAGAGGGAACTCAAAGCCATACCGGAAAGCGCCTATAAAAAATGTTTTGATGATTGGAAGAAAAGTTGGCATTTGTGTATCGCTTCTAATGGAGCATATTTTGAATGAGATAAAATAAATATTGATGAAGATTAAGAATTTTGCGTTTTATTTAAAATTTTCCGGAAACTTTTCGGTCACAATGTATATGTCGTGGAATCTTTACATTATTTACTTCACATAAGCTCTGACGAAAATGGGTCCATTGAGTATGCATTTCAGCAGGCAAAGCTTCATCCCACGAAAGTTTTAACTGCCACAATTTTTGAACAAATATTTTCGCCTTCACTACTACGGGAGCCATTAATCCAAGTGGATCAAAAATGTGCGCCAACTCGGAACTTACGGTCCTGTTTGTTATTTTGCTGTGTGTAGGTCCATTAGTTTTTATTGAAAATTGATCAGATTTTGGTAGCCAGATAAGGCCTAGAGTTTTTACTGTCTTATGTGACTCACTGCTGACATCGAGATCCACTTCTTGATCTTCTGGAGCGAGT